ACATACAAATATGGCCACCCTTTTCATCTTATAGTTCGCAAAGGTAATATTTTTTTTAACTTATGGTAACACAGTGAGCTCCATGCTCTTTTCTCCTATGCTCCTTTGTGGGGGTGCGGGTAGGGGGGCACCCAGATGTGCCCCCCCTTGCGAATGAGTATGGGGTACTTGTACCCCTACCCATTCACAAAAGGGTTAAATAAAAGATTAAATAACACCAGATTTTCATCCAAAATAATTTATTTGAAAAAAAAAACACAACAAAGGATTTTTGACAAGTCCTTTATTAAAAAAAAAAAATGGTCCATCGCCATAATCCAGGGTCAAGCGTTGTCCATGACGACGACACAAAGAAATAAAAAATAAATAGAAATGTTTTAAAAAGACGACCGCTGTCCTTCGCTGCAATGAATACCTGCTGCAGAATGGCATTTTGACAGATGTTGGCAACTTATAAACAATTGGGCGGAGCTAAAAGCGTCAGCCAGCTCCGCCCAACTGTTTACAGTTGTAACCGGCGAGCCATGATTGGGCAGAGTCATGATGACTTTGCCCATCATGGCTCTCATAGTTCTCTGTACCCTGATTGGGCAAGGTCTTGCACCTGACCTGTGGCCGGGTGCAAGCTTTTAGCCAGTTAGAGCTTCACAAGGCGCATTGCCTTGTGGGGCGTTCAGTGGGTGAACAGCCCAGGGAATGCCCTGATAGTTTGTGTGTTCAGCCAACACACACACCAGTGATGTTTGAGCCCAACTCTAGTAGAAATTACACAGCCCTGTATACATTTCTACTTCATGAAACTAACTTTCTATACAAATTGTGTATAGTTTAACGTTGTAACCCCCTCTAGTGGCAACTCAATCCTTACTGATGAGACACCCACATTCTGCAAACATTATTATCCAACAATATACCTTGCACCATCTCCTTCATCTAATAATAGGGGAGTAAGTATCCTCTTCTCTAAATCTCTACATTGCCAACTCCTTGATCAGAAAACCGATCCCTCCGGCAGATACCTATTTTTGAAAGGTCGTATTGGTTCTCAGACATTCACATTGGCAAATTTATACTTTCCTAACTCTAACCAGGTTACCTTTCTTGAATCTCTAATGGATAGACTGGAGGGGTTTGCAGAAGGAACGCTAATCATAGGCGGTGACTTTAATTTTACACTTGAACCCTTACATGACTCCTCTAGGGGTCCCTCTCACTTATTTTTATGCACGTACCAAAATCAAAAGATTCTTCATAAATTCCAACTCTTACATATTTGGAGTGTAATGTCCAAGGTAGAGACTATACCTACTACTCGGCGGCTCATGATACCTACTCTCGCATAGATTTTTTTCCTAATCTCGCATAGTGCTCTTCCCATAGTCTCTGGGGCTAATATAGGTCTAATAGTGCTTTCTGACCATGCACCTGTCTACCTTTCCTTTAGTCCTTCCCTTCTACCATTAAAATCTACTACTTGGAGACTTAATGAAACTCTACTTCAAGACCCTGTTATTCAAGCAGACCTGATTAGAGAACTCGAGTTGTATTTTCTAAATAATATTGATAGTGTTGAGAATCCGATAATAGCCTGGGCCGCCCACAAAAGTTACATTAGAGGCATCCTTATTGAACACGGCTACAGGGCCAAGGTTGCTGGGTTAGCAAAATCCTACGATTTACTTGCAAAAATTAAATATCTGGAACTAGCTCATAAAGGCTCTCATTCTAAATCAGTAATCCAAGAACTAATCGCGATACTGGAACAGCTCTGATCACAATCCCTTTACTAAGCCAAACACAAAATCATGAAATGTAGACACATTTTCTATGAATTTTGCAATAACTGCAGTAAGTCCTTGGCCAACACTTTTCGAAATCAAAGAGCTCAGAATTATGTCCCAGCAATTAACACCTCATCCAGGAAAAAAATATTTGCTTATACAGAAATTGCGGAGACGTTTCGCTCCTTTTACTCTAACCTGTACAACTTACATTCTTCAAATTCCGACCCACCTCCTAGATCCAGATTGGACGCTATTAACTCATATCTTCAAGCCTCCAAACTCTCCTCCTTAAATGGTGATGAACAAATTACATTATCTTCTCCTATTAGTCCTGAGGAACTATCCTTTTTCAATTTCTGATTCCCTTACAGGAAAAACACCTGGTCTCGCCTATTATGAAAAATTCCTCCAACAATTATTTTCTCACTTTCTGTCAGCATTTAACACCCTAACTAAAGGATATACCCTTCTTCCTGAGCTCCTCTCAGGTCCTATATCAGTTATCCTGAAATCTGGTAAAGACCTCCTTTGCTGCTCTAGCTATAGGCCAATTTATTTACTAAACAATGACCTCAAACTATTTGTCAAAATCCTAGCTCTAAGAAGTCCTATACTACATCGGAATATTTATCCAGATCAAACCAGATTTGTCTACCATAGAGAAGCCAGGGATAACACTATCCGTACCATTGATCTCATTCATAGAGCTAGGACTTCGGGAACTCCCATGTTGACCCTGTCTACGGACGCTGAAAAAGCATTTGACAGGGTGGTAAGGGACTTCCTAGATAGGATCTTGTTCCACATTAACATTCCCCAACAGTTCCAAGCTTGGATTGAAGCTCTTTACTCTAAACCATCGGCAACAGTTAGAATTAATGGTCATCATTCTCGCTCCTTTTCTATTACTAATGGCACCCATCAGGGATGCCCTCTTCCCCCCTTATCTTTATCCTCACTCTTGAGCCTTTTCTCCAGCAAATTGGGAATAACCCTGATATCACGGGCTTACAGGTGGGAAATCGTCTACATAAGGTTGCAGCCTATGCTGACGACCTTCTGTTCTATATAACCAAACCACGTACTTCTTTACACAATCTAATGGAAGATGTACAATTATACAACTTCCTCTCAAATTTCAAAATTTATTTTAAGAAGTCTGAAGGACTCACTATCTCCATTTATTAAGGTCAAGCTCTTGGAAAGACATCACTATCCTGCACTCTGAATTCTAAGTAAAATGTTTGGATCAATGGCGACGATTACAGCTTTCTCACTTTCTACAGTCCCAACCTAACCCACGGCTATTCTCAAGGACACATTATCCTTTTGAGATTTTGTGTTCAGGTCAAGGCATAGTTAGGGGTACCCTCTCCAAGGCCTATCAATTTATTCTCCGTGATTCTTCTGACTCAGATCTACCTTTCTTTAAAAAATTGGAAACAAGACTTAGGAAATGAATTTACATCAATCAGATTCTATTTTTTGCTCACAAAGCATCAATTAGTAATAAATATCAAGAATACCCGCTGGTATAGGACCCCTTCTGTCCTCAATGTTTCCCCCCAGATTACTCTGATATCTGTTGGCACTGCCTATCCTCTACGGGAACCTTATTCCATGTTTTTTGGGAGTGCCCATTGAACAAGCCCTTGTGGAAACAGGTCCTCGGTATAATTAAGGAACTCACTGGTTTTGACTTGATGAACAATCCAGTAGCCGTCCTCCTGAACATACTCCAACGTCCAGAAAGATATATTATAAATCACTATTGAAACATTTACTGAATGCAGTTTGGGCGTGTGTCCCTACCACCTGGAAGCAACACAATCCCCGACTATAGTTCAATGGTTTAACAGAGTAAATGAAATCAAGAATATTGAGGACCTCACATCAGCCCTCTACAACAGGTCTGACCTTTTCACTCAAACTTGGTTTTATTGGGGGATATCTATTCTTAGCTTTTCTATTAGCTTGTTTTGTCCCTCTTTTCCTACTTTCTCATTTCTGTTACACGTTTTCTTCTCTGCATGCTTTGGTCATTACTGATTACTGAATATCAAATAATACTTAAAGGAGAACTATGAGGTGAGTGAAAATCACTCATCTTTCATAGTTCGAGCCGACTTTTGACAATGAAACTGTCACACATCGGCTCAATAGATCGGGAAGTGAGCGAACGCATACCGTCGCTTGCTCACTTCTCAATCATCTCCCTGCAAAGAGAGGTGACTGTCAGGGATTCCCCCCCTCCCCGCTCCGATCCTCCAGTGCTGACTGGAGGAACGGATAGGGGAGGGGGCGGGTACAGCTGGCTCTGCCTCTAGATAGGCAGAGCCAGCTGTCATTCCAGCAGCTGGGTGGATCTTGACAGCATTGTCGGGATCCGTCCCGGTTATGGTGGTCTCAGTATACCGTGAGCTGCAGCTCGCGATATACTGAGCTTTGGGTCACGGGAGGAGGTTAGGATATGTCCCCCCCGTGACCCTTAAGAGAACTATGGGGGAAAACACTTACCCCAAAGTTCTCTTTAATAAAATACGAGTAGGAATTGCTATGTTCAGCAAACCCTAACTGACATGGTAATTTGTCACAAACAACTTATGCTAATCTGTCACTCTCTCTTCTCTTGTCTCTGATCACCCCTGTTCTCTTTTCTATGTTCTTTCGTCCCCCTCTCGTTCCCCTTCTCCTCGGGCACCCCTGCTTTTCCCATCTTATCTGTCAAATCCAATATATGTTCCCCCAAATCCCATATATGTTCACGGAGAAGGAAAATGAAAAAAAGAAAAGAAAACTCCACCAAATATTACTCAACTTAATTACATAATTAATTCACCAATATATCTTAAAGTTCTTGTTCAGTCTCTTAAGAAACCATATACTTGTATATGTTGTCATATCCTTTTTCTTTTCATTATGCCTTAATCATTTTTTTTTTACATAAAACTGTTTGTATCTCGATGGATTTAACTTGTTAACTAAAACATTTGGAAAAAAAAAAAAGTTCTCATAAGGGCTTTCTTACACTAATTATGCATAACAACAATATTCAAAGGATTCTAAAATATGCAATTAATAATATACTTTTCCCAACACAGCATGCAAACATTTCTAAGCTCCATCTGATCAGATGAGGATGCGCCATTATAATATTTTAGGAAGTTAATAAGTTTGTTTTTACTTTTTTAATATGTTTGCATCTGTTTTTTACAGACAAGCCGGTTTCTCCATACAGTAACTACACTGGTCTCTATCCCACTCTGCCGTTACATCCTGCGGTAAGTACAGCCTCGTAAGACCATTAAATAGTACTTATTAAACTATTACTCTGTGCTATTAACCTGCTCATAAATTGTGCTTAATGATGTGAATAAACCTCTGATACAATACACACACATCAAAACAAGATTACAGCTGTCAAAGTTTTGAATTTGAGGATGTAAAGAAGATAGTGACAGCAAATTGCCAGGACCTATGATACTCATTCTTTGTTAGAAAGTAATAGAACGGTGCCTCCTACAGGAAATGTCAAAAACAGCATGGTTCAGCAACAACCTTTGATCTTGGACAACACAGCTTAGTTTTATTACATCAGCAATACCTGAAACAATGTTTGTATGAATGAATGTGGGCAGCCATGCAATTACACAGCAATATTTTAGAATGCCGGTCAGTTGACTTAAATAGAGAAATGCAGTGCACATGATTTGTTTGCAATGCACCTCAGCACAATGTGTTGGTACAAATGGGCCCTAAACAATTGTAGTAGAGTCACCAGCACTTGACTGATGTGGTCACTGTATCGCCTTGAGAAAGGGGCCCTCTGGAGCCCCAAAACTCCTTACAGGAAAGCCCTATGTACAAAGGAGGGCACTATAGTAAGCACTGATGGTGCCATGTATCTTCAGATATATAAAAAACGTTACAAGCACACCTATGACTTGTGTCAACAATACATCTTCTTTATTGATGCAGACTGTCAAGTAACAATGTTTCGGGGCCACGCACGGTCCCCTTTATCATATTAAAACCTGATGAAGGGGACCCTCCCGAAATGCTGTTATTTGACAGTCTGCATCAATAAAGAAGATGGATTGTTGACACAAATCATAGGTGTGCTGGTAACATTTTCTATATCTTTGAAGAATAAACACACATTCTTCTTTGATCTTCAGTCGAGTGTTGGTGACTATTCCTCTATTGTGGTAGTGCATGGCACCATCAATTGCTGTCACTATTAGAATCATCTTACAATCATAGCAACACTGTAATGCAGCCCATAACTTTACCACTTCTGGGTCCTAAAAAATATATGTCAACGTTTCTAAGCCCTAGCCATCTAAATTAGTAGTAGTATGTAGCAACATAAAATAAAGTTGTTTCATACTGATGTTAGTATGTATAATTCTGTGGTTTCCCAGTGATACCACAAACACTAAACTAAAGAAAGAAATTAACCCCCCCACAAAGCCACTGTTGAGGCACTAAGTGACTGATCAGGTCACCTAAGGCACACCTAAGGTTATAGAACTTGTAATTTACTAAGGTCTAATGTGCAATAACTACGTTGTGCAAAAACAAAAAACATCCGGTGTTTTTCTTTTTGTTTTTTCTTTTGTTCTCTTGTCTTTTTATGGTATCACTGTAGGCCATCCACCCTCCTATTGCCATTAAAGGTGTAGGTATGGGATGGATTCCTGTCAAGGTTAGATAACCTGTCCTAAATTGCTATTATTTATCTCTTGCAGAATATATCTGCTCACATACTTTCATTTACCTATCAAATGCCTGTCTGATATCTATGGAAGAACTAGACTTACATATAAAAATTAGAGCAAAGAGAAGTGCCTTGCCTTTGGAACCAGTCAGATGCTTACTGTAATTTTTTTATGCAATGGTTACAAATGTTTGCCAAGTGCAAGTTTTGAGGTGTATTGTGGTTCTCTATAAAGGAAGTATATTATTGAACAACTATGGACAGACAGTATATATACACCATTCTCTCCTGTAGATAAACACCATAGTTTCCATGAGCACCGTGGATTCACACTGTGCATAAATGCAGGCACATTAATGCGCACTAAGCCACACATTACCGTGCATTGCGTAAAGGCAATCCATTCATTTAAATTCATCTTTGCATATGATGCGTTATATTTGACATTGGAGCCATGTCTAAGCTCAGCCTTTCTGTAAACCAGGACCGTTCAAGGGGATCCTGGGATGTAGTAAGAGTTTAGACAGCTATGTGCAGGCAACTTATCAAACACCAGTAGTTTACATAATTACCTTATTGGCTGGTTTGCTTCCATCTAATCATGCTCATGAGAGTCCCAGTAAGGACCCTGTAGAATTTTCATATTGTAAACTTTAGGACTGTTACTGATTAAAATTTTCGTGTTCGATTAATCGAATTTTTTTTTAATCGATTAATTTTGATTAATTATAACGCACATACAGATCCAACTACATTGGTCTATACACATACAGCGCAGCAATGAAGTAATAAAATGAACTAGGATCACACTAATCCAGCACGTTATTTTAATCGATCAAAAAGATTAATCGAGAAATTAATCGTTAATTTGCACAGCCCTAGTAAACTTATTAAATTAATAAACAAAGTAAATCAGTAATTAAGGTTTGCCTAATTACGAAACATAAAATGCTTTTATGGGCTGCATTTACACCAGCGACTGTGCTACAATGCACAGCCGCTGGTGTGCGGTAGCAGTCACAGTGCCGATGCACTGATTCTGGTGTATCGCCCTGTTTACCTTTTTTTTAATTGAAACTTTATTGAAATGTCACAAGTGAAAAATAAATTACCTTTTTTTTTTTCCTCAGGTTGCAGTGCTCTTGTTAGGGGGAGGGGTTAATTGAGCTCAGGTGTCTCTCATTGAGCAGGTGTATTATAAACTAGTGCATCACTCATTTTGAGCTTGCTCACACAGGGCTTGGGAACAAATTGCCTGGGAGCTAAGTGGCGTTAAAAAATTGGCGTTTAAACAATTGAAGTTTAACCAGGCCAGTTGTAACTTCTTCCTGGGTGGTGGTATAAATTAAATTTAGTTTAACAAACAAGTTATTGAACGTACCACTTGTGAACCATAATTTAACCCAGGGCGGCAGTATAATTATACAGAGGTCGGTAGTATAATTCAGTATAATTTATTTATCTTAATCTAATTTAAATTATTTAATTTAACAAACAAGTTATTGATAGACTTGTGCGCCATCAAACAATTTGTTCTGTTTCGTTTCGGAATATTTCGTATTTCGTAATTCGTAACTGAACTCGATTCGGATTCGTACGAAATACGAATTTTCGTTAGTGGCGGTTATATTTTCGTAACTGTACGAACATTCGTTATGTTAATATTGGAGTGGTAGTTTGTTTTTTTATCCGAAATACGAATTCCGTTAACGGATTCCGTATCCGAATTTCGAATTTAAAAAAAAAAATACCTTCAAGTCCAATATAAATGTACTTTTGCTTTTTAACTTCAATATAAAACGAATGTTCGTAACGGAACGAAAATACGTCAACGGAATTTCGTATTTCCTGCCTGTATTTGTAATGCAACTCTCAGCAGCAGAAGAGAACCTCTGATTGGTCAACCAAAACGAAATACGAATTCCGTTAACGGATTCCGTATCCGAATTTCGAATTTAAAAAAAAAAATACCTTCAAGTCCAATATAAATGTACTTTTGCTTTTTAACTTCAATATAAAACGAATGTTCGTAACGGAACGAAAATACGTCAACGGAATTTCGTATTTCCTGCCTGTATTTGTAATGCAACTCTCAGCAGCAGAAGAGAACCTCTGATTGGTCAACCAAAATGAAATACGAATGCCGTTAACAGATTCCGTATCCGAATTTCAGATTTTGGATTTAAAAAAAAAATATCTTCAACTCCAATATAAATGTACTTTGCGTTTTAACTTCAATATAAAACGAATGTTCGTAACGGAACGAAAATACGTCAACGGAATTTCGTATTTCCTGCCTGTATTTGTAATGCAACTCTCAGCAGCAGAAGAGAACCTCTGATTGGTCAACCAAAATGAAATACGAATGCCGTTAACAGATTCCGTATCCGAATTTCAGATTTTGGATTTAAAAAAAAATATCTTCAACTCCAATATAAATGTACTTTGCTTCTTAACTTTAATATAAGAATGTTCGTAATGGAACGAAAATACGTCAACGGAATTTCGTATTTCCTGCCTGTGTGTGTAACTGTGTATTGTAATGCATCAGCAGCAGCGGATCCGTATCTCGGATTAAAAAAAAATCTTGTCATGTTGTTCAACCTCATTTACAGGGGTAATATTAGTTCCTGTTTCAAAGAAATTCGGATCCGAAATTCGTTAACGGAATTTCGTATTTCGGATATAATTCGGAAACTGCCATTCGGATTTCGGATGCTCTGAAATTCGGAATTTCAGGAAAATTCGTACGAATTTCGATTCGTAACGAAACGAATCGCACATGTCTAGTTATTGAACAGGCCACTTGTGATCCAATACCCCAGTGGTTGACGGAAACCGGGATACAACAAAGACTTAAAATGCTCAATGCAAACAAAGCAGTGGGTCCGGATAACCTGCAACCCAAGGTACTTAGACACGGTTACTAAATTTAAATATGTTCACGCTGGAACTAAGGAGATTAAGGGGGACATGATTTTCATGTACAAAATGTTCCATAGTCATAGCAACATTAGCAACAAACTCTTTACGATTAATTCCGTAACAAAGACTAGAGGACACCACCTGAAACTGGTAGAAAAAAAATTCAAACACAAGGGGCGAAGGGGATTCTTCTCAGTTCGCGCGGTTAGGGTCTGGAACTCGTTGCCACAAATCTTTTAGACACTAGTCTACCTATTTAGCAGAAATAGGTAGACTAGTGCACTACAACTAGGATTGGAAGAGTGTTCACTTGAAGACTTAATTATTAGTTATGTCTGGAGTATACCCTAATTCTGTACCATTTTGAGAATCGTTTTTACCATTCAAAGCTTTTTATAATTAAATCCTTGTTGCGAGCTGATACATTTCAACATCCTTTATCATTCTGATTTTAGGAAGTGGATAGTGTGAATCAAATACCTGTACATCTACCACGGATCTCAATGGAACCTTGGCGATACCATCTTTAAATCTCAGACACATTGACAGTGCACAGCTCCGACCTGACAAGAAGACCATGTTAAAGTTCAATTGGGCAAAGTTCAGAACAAGACGTGTCGGTGTCAAGGGTCTGATATAACCCTAAGAGAAGCAGACAAAACAAATTGTATCTTAAGTCATCTCAGCAATTCTTCTTTTCCAGTGCTATGAATATTTAAAGAGGCTGCATTATAATTTAATCATTCTTGGTCTGATTTACTATGTTTCCTACTTGCCAGACAGCTCCCCGGAGCCTTAATTAACAAACCTGTTAACAATTCAAACGGACAAATGTTTACTTGTAGTGCAGTGAGTAGGAAACATCTGTGCTTTATTGGTCAGTTATTCTGGCACTTAGGTGTTGTGTTAAAGAGTAAAGAAAAAGTCATACCAGTACTGTGTATATCATTGAACCAAAGAAAATCAGTATTCAAATCTTGCATAGACAGCTGCATTCATTTAATTGTGGAAAGCAATTAAATCTCTAGAAGACTTTTACAAGTGTCAAACCCACAGACCAGTGGAAGAAGAGTACAGTCAGATCTATATTGGGAAAGGGTTAGAATCTCTGTCAGATTTTAATTGCTGTGTCCCCACTGGAGAAATGTTTACTTACTTACTGTTCCAGTGACAATGATAACCAAAATAGGAAGTGTATAAAAATTTCTGCAACAGGGACAGGGATGGCAATAAAAATATTTTTTAATAGAGTAGAGTTAAACCTGTGCCATATGTTTTTGCTTTGATGAACAGAGTAATGAAAGGGCCACACCACTGGTCTTATAGCCCACAATAGTACTCTGTTTTTTTTTTTAATAATAGAGATTAATGTTGTAAAAAGCCCACACGTTTCGTGGGTCCAATCAGGGCTTTGGAAGCTGCATGTACGTAGAAAGCTGGACTCCTTCATATGGTATCTGCTAGCTAGGTGGGAACAGTGCAGGCTGTGTGATACAGAAAGCCTCTGACACAAGACAGCACACTGCTCTGTTACTTAGAACAGGCATAACATATTACTATGCCAAGATCATCAGCAGCAAGTACTAATTTCAGGTATCTTACTGATACGAGCATCCTCAATATGTGAATTGATAACAGAGGCTCTGTCAGCACTATTGACTAGCTGGTGATCACTAATGACTGGGACTTTTGGAAAAAAAAGTGAAATCTATGGTGACTAAGACAACAATGAAAACTGGATAGAGGTTCTAAGTCTTCCCCTCTCTACATACTGCATGCATATACCAAAATAACTATAAAAAGTGGGATCTGATCTTGTTAGCCTGCTACTGGAATTTATACAATTTTGTGAGATTGAATTTACTTATGTCATGTATTTCTATTTCTTAGTGTTGCCCATTAAAGAGTTATGCTTAGAGAAATATAAAATTAAGCATGATGCAACATTTTAAACTGAGATTTCCGAAATTGTATATTCATGCTTCCAGCAGCCATCATTCCAGATGCTTTAAAATAGGTTCTATTTTGTTAGTTTTGTAGACATGTTAGATTTTAACTTAAATATTTTTTTAAAAGACATTAAGAAAGTGCCATTGTCCGGAGAAGCGACTCTGCTATGCTATTCCTTTATTAAGCAAGTCAATAAAGGCTATGGGGGTGATTTACTAACCTAAACACACGCACGCACTAGGTGCGTGTGATTTTTACACAGCAAAACGTATTTATCAACCAAAAAGTCTCTAAAAGCATATTTCCACTAATGCCATATATGGAAAAATCATGCACATGATGCATATATAATGCTGCTTCACAGTTTAGACAAAAATGGTTAGCTCATGCATTTACATTCCTGCTTTCATCAACGCAAGCAACACAACATAGAGCTACTTTACACAACATCACCTTGCAAATTCATGCAGGGCTTTGCACAACACACCTGCTGGGTGTGTACACACTACAAAGGTGTTTAGATTCCACCCATAGATCATGCTGGGAGGGAACACACTACAGAGGTGTTTACATGTTCGTGGTGTGTTTATAAGGTTAGTAAATCAACCCCTATGAATGGAGACCACTCCAGGAGCTGGCCACTAGCAGAGGTAGGTTTACCAGTATTGGATGTATTAGTACATGTACAACAGACCCTTTTAAAGTGAGTTTGTTATTGTTTTTGTAGGCAATAGAATATGCTGGTATGGGTTTTTCTCTTGCACTTTAATTCCTACCTACGTAAAATCATTTTATTTTGGACTTTTTCACATATATATTTTTCAGAAAACACTCCAATGATATTAATACTGTTTTATATATATTTTTAAAATGTGTTATTGCCCTACTCCAGACAACAGTTTGTTCCTGAATTTTTTAGAGCTTGGGGATAGGTTATAACCTCTCCTAGGTTTTCATCTAGGCAAAAAGTGAGGGAACATTTTTTCCCAGTAATCACAAAAATCAATACAAAAGAGGTTCCAATCATTGAAAAAATTCAAATGCTTTTACCAATGTCAGCATTCCCGTTAGGATGACTTCCCTCTACTTCCTGTTCCGACACTCTTTAAATAGACAGGAAGAGTCTCCAATGGAGATCCAGGTAGCAATGCAAACTTTAAAGATAATTTTTATCTTGTAGTTTTGCCTGGAGTTAGTCTATAGGGGCTCCTGTAATGCAAGGATTATTAAGCTGTAAAGGAGTTGGGTATGCAAAATAAGCATTGTCCTTGTTTTTATTTTGGTTATGATATTAGTGTATATGAAATGAATGCTTTTGTTGTTAAAACAAATCTACACCCAAAAACAAAAATGCAATATATTGCAGATTACTAGTCCCTAGGTGTAGTGGTTGTATTCACTTTCTTTCCTCAGACTTTTTCCCCTTTATTTTTATCCAATAATCCTGCAAATAGCATACTTCCTGTCCTGGGATGGCTACACTCACTCCTCCACTGTATCTGTGAAAGCAGCCATGGTTGTTACCATAGGCATACACAGGGGGTGTGCTGGGTGTGCCTGAGCACACCCTAATCACTCTGAGTGCAACACCAAAACCACAACAACGGGTTTTGTGTTTTTAGTCACTGAGCCGGTGGAGAGATCACAAAGATCTCTCTATGATCATCTCAGAGGTACAGAGCACAGCAGCACTTGCCACTTACATTCCTCACATAACAGCTGCAGTCCTTGATGCCTGGGAAGCTGCAAGGGAGCATGTCTATGGCTTCCCATCCAATCAGGAAGCCGGGTGGGTGGCTACATGACCACCTGCCAGGCTCCCTGCTTCATTACTGTACCCCTGCTGGAACAGGAAAGGGACAGTTGAAGAGATGACAATCAGGTCTGTGTATATAATATGTATAAATATATATGTGTGTGTGTTTGTACTTTTGTGTGCACATCCTAATGCAATAGGCTGGGAACGCCTATGGTTGTTACACAAGCTGGACTTCAAACCTGTCTGCCTTTCTTCTCTCCATTACATGGGAGACTGATGAGACTCCTAGTTTACACAAGAAAGGTAAGGATGTTTGTGCTTTCTTCTCAGTTTACATGAAGTGACAAGGACACTGCATTTCTGGCAAGAGCAACAGATATTTCTGTACTTGCAAAAAAATTTCTTGAAAAAAAGAAAACTAATGCAGCCACCAAATCTAAGAATTGGTAAGTTGTAATAAATAACATTTTTGTTTTTTGGGTTTATACATATATACTTTCAGCAGTACATTTCCTTTCATACACTGAAACCTTCATGACTATAAGGGATAGTTCTACTTTTCCCCACACTCTTTAAATACTCCGCCATTAAAGAGTTTCAGGAAATGACAAGCACAATTACTTTGCAGTCTATGGAAAAATCCAATTAAAAAAATCATGGTCTCTTTTAATTTTTTTGCTAATTAGTTGCTTTTGCTGTAACACTTTCTAGTTTGATAAGCCAACTACTGATGTATTTATCTTATTTGGGAAATGACAAATCATAATGAAATCTCTGATAACTATTTGCTATGTTGTTAGTGAAACAGAAATTAAAGTGGTTGTTTTTTTAATTTGTATCTACATCTTTTTTCAAAGAGCAACAAAAACCTTAATGAACAAAACACATTTGCAAAAAAAAGGTTGTGAAAGAAGCAGCTATCTCTTGACTCAGGGGTGAAATGCTAGCTCTACAGCAGTGACCCATTGAATAGGTTTAGTGTTGCTGCAGTAGTAATCAAGGGGTGCATGAATAAAGAGGAATATATCTTCTATTAGAAGCTTCTACAAAATGAGAAATCATCTTTATGAGAAAAATATATAAAAAAGACAATTAAAGTGAACCAGCTACAACAAATGCTGACTTGGCCTTATCCCTTTCTACCCCATAAATCTGTTTGCTGGTCCTTTGCTGTGATGGGCCCCTTCACTCACTAATAAACAGGCTCAGATGGTGGAAGGGTCACGTTCTCTATATAACTTTAGCTGCAATATTACTGGATTTACAGTACAATACATTTTCACATATGGCTTTGACTAGGGATGCACAGATACTTTTCGAGTACCAGTGCAGATACTTGGCATTTTCATGAGAACTACCAGGGTTGCAGTGGTTGCAGCTGGGACCTGGCTCTGGCCCTCCACCACTGAAAAACTGTCACATGACAATAAACAAAAAACGTATCAGTACTTGTAAGTACTCGACAAGTACCAGTACTCGTACTCGCAAAACTGGTATCTGTGCATCAATTTATTTATATGTATAAAAACAAAATCGTACATTAAAACAGAGATGTACAAATCCCAGGAGCTCTGTGTGCTCCTTACAAATGACAGCTGCCTCCTAACTTTTGAATTTTTCTCTAGTGTAGTCTTGGAGCTCAAAAGTATCGGTACATGTACTCGTACTTGTACCAAGTACTGTACTTGGTATCTGTGCAACCCTAGTTTTGACTAAGTGTGAGATTCGGGTTCATGCTGATCTGGTCGAGGATCTGGTCGAGTCTGGCATGGTTCAGGAATGGGTGAGGGGAGGTGGATGCTCCCTGCCCTCCATTTTCTGTCCACCCAGGCTACATACCTGGATAAGGATGTGGGTGGAATTTTGGAGGAACTACACAATGTTTTTTGTGAACTGTTGCTTGAAAAAAAATGTATTGTGGTTCAACTTAAATTCTTACCATGCCCTTATCCAGACATACTGCCTTGGTGGCCTGGAAAGAGAGGGCAGCAAGTATGAATGCACCACACCAGGTCACATGGTTATCATGGAACATGGAAAAGGTGGGGGGGGTGGAGTTGGTAAGCATACATATCATAGACCATTATTCCTCAACAGTAGGACAAGGTGCCTTGCAAGTGGAAAAGTTTTGCTGCTCCCTTTGCAATTTAACCCCCCCCCCACCCCCATGTTGGCAGGCATGTGGTCTAATGTTCTGGAAGAAAGGGGAGGGGGGCGCAAATGCTTGCTACCCTCCCTTTTCTGGCCACCCAGGCTGC